AATCGCTTGAACCAGGGAGATGGAGGTTGCCACTGTACTCTACCCTGGTCAACAGAGCAAGACTCCGTCTCAAAAAACTAAGTAATTAATTAATAGAACGGGCTTAATCTTCCCCCATTCCTACATAATCACATCCTAACTTCCTTCAGAGTTCATTTCAAAGAAGCTTTTTTCATAAAGCAATCACACCAGTGAGAAGAAATCACCTCTTCCTTTAAAATCTCATGGCCCCATATCTTCTGTCACACTCAGTATCTTCTACCCAATATTTCCGTTTCTTTTCTTTACCACCAGACTTTATGTTTTTTAAGGATCAGTAATTGTCTGAGTAATACAGTCTCCATCTGGGGAGAGAGAGAGTGCCTTCTTTAATGGTCGTTTAGTCTTTTAATTTACCTACCAAAATTTAAACTCTTTGAAGGCAAAGATTCATATTTCTTTTTTCTCTGCCTTTCACCACCATATCCCTTATCTCGTGAATATATCCATTCTCTGTCTCAAAAGTTGTGAAGATAACTCAAAAAGGCAAGTATCAAAAATATTTTTTAGAATACCCACATAGCTTTCCAAAGCAATACATTTTAACCATCATTTTGGATATATAATTATTAGTCTGCTGCTTAATAAATCAATTATTTGACATTTCCTCCAAGGAGATAATCTTAAGAGCCTAAAAATACTAACCTTATTATTAAATGAGCATGGTACCTTACACATAGTAGACTTACAGAAGGTTACTGTATGAATGAATGAATCAATCAACAAATAAAGGCAAAAACTCTACTCCCAGCCAACAGAACACAGAACTAGGGTCAAACACAAAAGGAGACCTAAATAAAAATGTTTACATATTTTCAATTCTACAAACACTGGCAAGATGAACAGAACTGAACCAATCCCAAAGTCTCACACAGACAAGAGAGACACAAAATACAACTGCGCAGTTGCACTATCAACGTACTGTGGGTGAAACCTATGAACTGGTATTTATCACTTTCTGCCAAGACGCTTTTCCTATAAGCAGCCATAAAGACAATTGTGAATAAAATATAATCAAAGTAATCCAAAAAAATCTCATTTATGCCATCAACTGGAAGAGAAGAAAATGACGAAACCATTGGCTTTGAAGTGTGAAAATAGGCCAAGCATGGTGGCTCACGCCTGTAATCCCAACACTTTTGAGAGGCTGAGGCGGGTGAATCACCTGAGGTCAGTAGTTCAAGATCAGCCCAGTCAACATGGTGAAACCCCATCTCTCCTAAAAATACAAAAATTAGCCAGGTGTGGTAGTGGGCACCTGTAATCCCAGCTATTTGGGAGGCTGAGGCAGGAGAATCGCTTGAACCGAGGAAGCGGAGGTTGCAGTGAGCCAAGATCACACCACTGCATTCCAGCCCGGGTGATAGAGCCACACTCCATCTCAAAAAAATAAATAAAACAGTAATAGTAATAAAGTGTGAAAACAGGCTGGGTACAGTGGCCCGTGCCCGTAATCCCAGCATTTTGAGAGGCTAAGGCAGGCAGATCGTCTGAGCTCAGGAATTCAAGACCAGCCTGGGCAAATGGCGAAACCCCATCTCTACAAAAAGTACAAACATTAGCTGGGCATAGTGGCCTGTGCCTGTAGTTCCAGCTACTCGGCAGTCTGAAGTGGGAGGACTGCTTGAGCCCAGGAGGTTGAGGCTGCATTGAGCCATGATCACGCCACCACACTCCAGCCTGGGCAACAAAAAGACCTTGTCTCAAAAAAAAAAAGAAAAAAGAATTATAAAGAGTTGGCTGGACAAGGTGGCTCATATCTGAATCCTAGCACTTTAGGAGGCCGAGGCGGGTGGATATCTTTGAGCTCAGGAGTTCAACACCAGCCTGGGCAACACGACAAAACCCTATCTCTACAAAAAAATACAAAAATGAACTGAGCATAGTGGCTTATGCCTGTGAGCCCAGCTACTTGGGAGGTGGAGGCTGGAGGATCACTTGAGCCGAGATAGCGCAACGGCATTCCAGCCTGGGTGACACAGCGAGACCCTGTCTCTCTCTCTGACACACACACACACGTGTGAAAATCTTGGTTCTAGATTTAGCTACTACTTACAACTGTGACTCTGGACAAATCACTAAACATATCATCATGGTGGCTCACGCCTATAATCCCAGCACTTTGGAAGGCCGAGTTGGGCAGGCTGCCTGAGCTCAGGAGTTCGAGACCAGCCTGGGCAATATGGTGAAACCCCATCTCTACTAAAATACAAAAAAAAAAAAATTAGGCATGGCAGTGGGCACCTGTAGTCCCAGCACTTTGGGGGTCCAAAGCGGGCAGATCACGAGGTCAGGAGTTTGAGACCAGCCTGGCAAATATGGTGAAACCCCATCGTTCCTAAAAATACAAAAATTAGCCAGGCTTGGTGGCATGTGCCTGTAGTCCCAGCTACTCGGGAGGCTGAGGCAGGAGAATCGCCTGAACCCGGGAGGCAGAGGTTGCAGTGAGCTGAGATCACACCACTGCACTCTAGCCTGGGTGACAGAGTGCGACTCCCGCACAGAAAAAAAAAAAAAAAATTAAGAGGTTATTTGGGAATATCTGGAAAAAAAGAACAAACTTTCCTTCTCCTAAGATCTTTAAAAGAGAAATGATGGTTGAAAGCAAAAAATTTAATATTTTCTGATGGGGATTTCAATGTATGTAGATTAATAAATATGACAATTACAACATAAAGTAGTGAGGGTAAAGGGACCTATATGGTGATAAGTTTTCTACATTCTCCTTAAAGTGGCAAAATATTAACTCTAAGTACACTATGAAAAGTTAGGGATGGATATTCTAACTCCTAGAGCAAGTACTAAAAAAACCTACACGAAGAAATATAGTAAAAAACTCACTATTAAAATGGAATATTGGCCAGGCACAGTCGGTCACACTTGCAATCCCAGCACTTTATGAAACCAAGGAGGGCAGATCACCTGAGCTCAGGAGTTCAAGACTAGCCTGGCTAACATGGTGAAACCCCGTTTCTACTAAAAATATAAAAATTAGCTAGGCGTGGTGACGCACACCTGTAATCCCAGCTACTTGGTAGGCTGAGGCACCAGAATCTCTGGAACCTAGGAGGCAGAGGTTGCAGTGAGCTGAGATCGCACCACTGCACTCCAGCCTGGGAAACAGAGGCAGACTGTGTCTCCAAAAGAGAAAAAAAAAAAAAACTGAAGCATATTCAAATAATCCCAAAGATGGAAGAAAAGTAGAGGAAAAAAAAACAGAAATCAAATTATAATAAAATGGTAGCCCTAAATCAAACCATATCAATAATTACATTAAATGTAAATGGCCTAAAGATGCCAATTAAAAGACACAGATTGTCAGAAAGAATAAAAAAAAAGACACAGCTACATCTATTTATTAAAAACTTACTTTAAATAAAATGGCATAGGTAAGTTAAAAGTAAAAATAAAAGTAAAATGTAGACCTACTCATAACTCCCCTAAACTGGAAATTACACAAATTCTCAAGGATGCATGGCTAAAAACTACCATACATCCATGCAACAGAATATTACTTAGCAATTTAAAAAATTATTGGTACACACAACAAAATGGATTAATCTCTAAGGCATTATGCTGGGTAAAAGAAATCAGTTTCAACAGTTACAAACTATACGACTCCATTTACATGGCACTTTGGAAACGGTAAAACTATAGCAATTAGAAAAGATCAATGGCTGCCAACAGTTGAGATGGAAGTAGGGCAACATCACGGAGTTTTTTAGGATGATGGAACTGTGGAAGCCATGGTTGTGGTGACAGTTATATGAATCTATACATATGTTGAAATTCATAGAACTGTACACCAAAAGTCAATTTTACTGTATGTTAATTTTTAAAAATAAAGTAAAATAAAAATTACGTGGATGATCTCCATGGACCCTTCCAGACTATGATTCTATCAGTGAGAAAAAGAGAGGAGAGGCAAAAGGAAGACAAGGAGAATGCTAATCCTACTGGCATAAAAGCCACTACTCACAAGAACCTGATTACTGTACAAAAATATACAAAACAAACCCAATCTTCAGAATTTATTCCCAGAAGGGGCTAAGAAAACCGGACATTCGTATCTAAAATGTGTATATTTTTAAATGCCTATGAATAGCTCTTCTTGTCTGTTTCTATATTTTATACTTTGAAGCAGCTGCCAATTTCTCCTGGCTGAGTGCCAATTTCCCTGCTTGGGGTTACTCAATTTACAAGCATCCCTTTATTTATACCCTATACTCTGGGGTCTCTGGCAGTCACAATAACGACTCTGAAAAAGCAGTCGCTTTTGCAGGGTGCCAGAAAGATCAGCCCTCCTCACCCGGAACTAAGGTCCCTGTGGGACACAGCACACCCGGTCCACTAGTTCCAAACCTAAAGACGCTGGGCGGGAGGTCTTCTCAAGTCAAAAAGTCTCCCAAAGGAGGAAGACGCTGGAGGCCGGGCTTCGGGGCATTTCTGCCGTCTCCGGACTGCCCGGGAGCCTCCGGGGCAGCTAGCCGTTTAGAGGACAGTGCTGGTGTGAGGCTGTGGGCTGCAGAAGGTTCTGCCCAGCGACCCTGGGCAAGTCCCTTCCTCTCCTGGAGTAAGAGGAAAATTCTGGGAAGGTTGTGTAAGCTCGCTTCCCATTGACGCCTCAGAATCCACTTTCTGCCCCTCGTTCTCCAACGCCAAGAAGGAACCACACTTGCCCCTCACAGACTTCAACCCAGCCTTATGCCCTCCACCTTTCCCAGTCCCTGGGAGACCCGCGGAAACTAACACATCCAGCCAAGGGCAAGGCCCGAAGGAAGGGGTAGGCAGTAAACACCAAATCCCGGTCTCAGACCCACTCCGCCCCAAGCGGGCCTACCGGGCGCATTCCGGCCCGCCCCGCCCTGTGGTCACAGGCCGCCAGGTCCCGCTTCCACCCAAGGGAAGTACAGAGCGCGCCGGGGAGGGTCGGGTCGGGGGCCGGATCAGGAGGCGCCCACCTTGAGCTGGGACTTGGAGACCTTGCCGCTATGGTCCTGGTCGAGTGCGGTGAAGGCGTGCCAGATAGCTTTGAGCAGCTCGTCCTTCAAGCTCCCCATGGCCGCGGCCCTGCTGCCCCACCAACCCCTCGGGCCCAGCCAGCCCCTCCGCGCCTCGAACGCCCCTCAGCCTCCGCGTCCGCCGCCCGCCGCGCGGTCACCTGACCCGCCAGGCCCCGCCCCCGCCAGACCCCGCCCTGCTGCCGGCGCCGGTCCGGTGCCGCGCCCACAGCAGCCGGAGCGTGGGTTCTGCGGGTCAAGCCTCCCGTGGTGACAGGAATGCCTGGCCTTCTTTGTCAGCCAGGACGATAAACACATCTCCCTAATGTTTCCCAGACCAGTTCGGGCCTTTTTGGGTGCTCGAGTACAACACCTTACACAAATGACACCGTCTTGAGGAAAAAGCCGAGAGATTAGGTGAGCAGCCTACCCGCCTCTTCCCAGCGCCCCGCAGTGAAAAAGGGAGCCCTGGTCCTGTCTTGGGAACGCAGTCACTGTCTGAGGAGGCCGAAGAAGACCCCGAAAAGTCCCCAGATAGGGACTCAAATGATAGCGCAGTCCCAAGTCGGGGAGGGCGGTGGGGAGACAGGGAAGGACCTCGAGGGAAGTTTGTTCGTTCATTTCGCAAAAGTTTATTCGTGCATACTCTATCTTGGGTTCTAGGGACACAGAGACGAGGTTTAAGGGGAGTTTAGAAGTCAGGGTCAGGCAGCATTTTCTTCCTAACGCCTAACTGTTGTTCAGTTCACATCTTAGGAAGGGTTTGACCTGGTTAATGCCTCTCTGTAGTGTTTCTGTGCTTGCAAAATAGGAGATCTGCGCCAACTCCAAATCACTCCACCCATTTTACTAATCAGAACAGATGGACTATTTAAAAGAACGTATTTGGCCAGGCGTGGTGGCTCACGCCTGTAATCCCAGCACTTTGGGAGGCCAAGGTGGGCGGATCACCTGAGGTCAGGAGTTCAAGATCAGGCTGGCCAACATGGTGAAACCCCATCTCTACTAAAACAAAATTAGCTGGGCGTGGTGGCACATGCCTGTAATCCCAGCTACTCGGGAGGCTGAGGCAGGAGAATCACTTGAACCCGGTAGGCGGAGGTTGCGGTGAGCCAATATCGGGCCGTTGCACTCCAGCCTGGGCAACAAGAGTGAAACTCCGTCTCAAGCAAAAAAAAGTATTCGATTGCAGCCGTTGAATTAGTATCTGTTCACAATGGTCACTTGATCTCTTTGGGCTTCAAATTTATCCTGTATAAAAAGAGCAGGGTTGCACCAGATGTTCTGGAAGGTTCTTGCAGTACTTGTATCCTAGGATAATAACTATTGCCGGTTAACTAAGGTCTGATTAAGTCACCAAGCTCAGTACCTCTTCTCTCCAATCCTAGACCAACTGGAGAGAACAATAAACACCAAGAGTTTTTTAAATGAGGTGGTTCTCAGATGAAGTTTGATTTTGTTTTGCTTTTTTAAGTTCCTTAATGCACATGTTTGCCTTATTAAGAAAGGAAAAGATCTTCATAAGAAAGGGATATTTGGAAAGATCAGAACAAAGAGGAGCTTCTTCAGTGAGTTTGAGATCAAAACGGAACTGGTGGGTAAGAGGAGAGGATGGCCCCACTGACGAAAGAAAGGGCGGGAGCAAAAGGGTGGCCAGCCCCTCACTGTGACTGTCCTGAAGGTTCCACCCCATTTCATCACCATTTGTCAGGACTTTTCTTGCCCTACCAGAATCCAATTTCTATCATTTGTCTTCCCCATTTCCAGCCCAAGTCTGCCAGTCAGCAAAAACACATGGTTTAACCTCTAATTTATTCATGCGAACTCAGCTTACCCTGAGTGGCAAAAAAAAAAAAAAAGAAGAAGAAGAAGAAAAAAGAAACGAAAAAACCTCCTAATTCTCAAGGTTCAGTTTAACCACTATGTGACACTCCTTCTCTCTCAGTATCTGGAAGCACCAAACATATTTCAAAACCTTTTTTTAAGGACAAGACCAGGACATTGTGGACTTCCAAAGTCCTACTTCTCCCATAATCTTCATTCATACAATCTAAACGAATTTTTTTCTTTTTTTTTGGTTTTTTGTTTGTTTGTTTTGAGACAGAGTCTCACTCTGTTGCCCAGGCTGGAGTGCAATGGTACGATCTCAGCTCACTGCAACCTTCACCTCCTGGGTTCAAGCGATTCTCCTGCTTCAGCCTCCTGAGTCCTGGGATTACAGGTGCCAGCCACCACGCCCAGCTAACTTCTTTTATTTTTAGTGGAGACTGGGTTTCACCATGTTGGCCAGGTTGGTCTCAAATTCCTGGCCTCAAGTGATCTGCCCGCCTTGGCTTCCCAAAGTGCTGAGATTACAGGCGTGAGCTACCACGCCCTTCCTGTCCAAACAAATTTTAAAGTAGCATAATGTCACAGAAAGCGCTGTGCTTTTCCTGGGTGTAGTGGCTCCTGCCTGTAATCCCAACAATTTGAGAGACTGGGATGGGAGGATTGCTTGAGGCCAGGAGTTTAAGACCAGCCTGGGCAAGGTAGCAAAACTCCATCTCCACAAAAAATTGAAAATAAGAAAGAAAAATAAAGAGTTGTGCTTCAGAATCTAACAGATTATATTAATCTAATGCTGTGTAACCAATTAACCCCAAATTTAGCAACTTAAAACTATAATAAACATTATTTCGTATTTTCTGTAAGTCAGGAATTTAGAAGCCACTTAGCTCTATAGTTCTGGCTTGAAGTATCTCAGGAGGTTGCAGTAAAATATAGGGCTGTAGTCATTTGAAGGCTATGCTGGTGCTGGAAAATCTACTTCACATGGATGGGTCGTTTACAGAAGGCCTCAGTTCCTCTCTATATGGGCCTGTCCTCAGGCTGCTTGAGTATCCTTACAACACATCAGCTGGCTTTCAATTGATTCAAGAAAGAGAAAGATGGAAGCTGCAATGTCTTTTATGATCCACCATCAAAAATCATTCACCATCATTTCTGCAATGTTCTACTGATTGCTCAGGTCAAATCTGTTTGATTTGGGAGGGAAACTACAAAAGGGTATGAGTACCAATGGGCAAGAATCATGGGGGTCATCTTGGAAGATGGCTACCCCACAGATGTTGGGAAGAATCCGGGCTTCCCCACTGACTCGTCTATGAATAAACATGAGGCTTCATTTCCTCATATGTAAAATGGGAATGCTAATATTTCTTTTGCAAGACTTTCTTTTTTTTTTTTTTGAGACAAAGTCTTGCTCTGTCTCCCAGGCTGGAGTGCAGTGGCTTGATCTTGGCTCACTGCAACCTCTGGCACCTGGGTTTAAGCAATTCTCCTGTCTCAGCCTCTGAAGTAGCTGGGGTTACAGGCGTGTGCCGCCACGCCCAGCTAATTTTTGTATATTTAGTAGAGATGGGGTTTCAGCATCTTGGCCAAGCTGGTCTTGAACTCCTGACCTCATGATCCACCCACCTCAGCCTCCCAAAGTGCTGGGATTACAGGCGTGAGCCACTGTGCCTGGCCTCTTTTTTTAATTTTTATTTTTTGATGAGGTCTTTACAGATGAGGTCTTTACAGATGAGGTCTATTTTGCAAGACTGATATGAAGTTTAAATGAGAGGCTAGTGTGTATAAGACATAGCTTCGGCATCATGGTATCTGACAGTCACTGGTGTTTGTACTGTGTCAATTAGGTAAGTTGAATGTCCCTTCCCAATATGGTTCCTCAAATGTCCCTTCCCAATATGGTTCCAGGATAGGATTGTCCACAAAAGCATTTCATGTAAGTTTAGAAGGATCAAGTAAGATTTGTGTAAGATTTGGAAGCAGCAGCCCTTGTGTTCTGAAGGTGGATGGAAATATCACATGCTATGCAGATCAAAGAGTTGTTGCTGATCTGCTAATATACTTTGTTAGTACAGAGCATTAACCAGCCCACAGCTCTTTCAGCTTCCACCAGATTTTCTATTTCAGTGTCTCCAAGCCTTGGGGCAAGGCACATGTGTAGTTCCGTGGTAAGGGCATTAGCTTATGCTACATATCACATGCTCATCAATGTGAAAGATAGCTGTGAGTTCCATTTTGTCTTCGTGGGTTCCAGTTTGTCCTGTGGATTCTAGTTTGTCCTCACTCTCCCTCAATGCAATCCAAGTTTTCTTCCTGATTGCTAGCCCTGATGACCTATCATAAACTTCAGGCCCATTGCTGGATGCAGAGGGAACAGCCTTCCATGGACTCATTCGTCAGCTTTCCTTTGTGATCTCTGCTGAGTGACTTTTCTGATTGTCCAGCCATCTCCTTTCAGACCTTTTCTTCCCTAGCTTCTCCTGCAGTTGTATTGTATCCAATTCTTTTTTTTTTTTTTTTTTTTTTTTTGAGACGGAGTCTCAGTCTGTCGCCCAGGCTGGAGTGCAGTGGCCGGATCTCAGCTCACTGCAAGCTCCACCTCCCAGGTTCACGCCAGTCTCCTGCCTCAGCCTCCCAAGTAGCTGGGACTACAGGCGCCCACCACCTCGCCTGGCTAGTTTTTTGTATTTTTTAGTAGATACGGGGTTTCACTGGGTTAGCCAGGATGGTCTCAATCTCCTGACCTCATGATCCACCCGTCTCGGCCTCCCAAAGTGCTGGGATTACAGGCTTGAGCCACCGCACCCGGCCCCAACTCTTAGAATAAAGCTTAATTCCATAGTGGTGGCCACTTTCCTGATCAGCCCATAACTGATAATGAAATTGGTGAAGTTAGATACTGCAACAATGAAAAATGTGTCGACCAGGCGCGGTGGCTCAGGCCTGTAATCCCAGCACTTTGGGAGGCCGAGGCAGGTGGATCACAAGGTCAGGAGATCAAGACCATCCTGGCTAACATGGTGAAACCCCGTCTCTACTAAATATACAAAAAATTAGCCACATGTGGTGGCGGGCGCCTGTAGTCCCAGCTACTCAGGAGGCCAAGGCAGGAGAATAGCGTGAACCCAGGAGGCAGAGCTTGCAGTGAGTGGAGATCACACCACTGCACTCCAGCCTGGGTGACAAAGCGAGACTCCGTCTCAAAAACAAAAGGAAAAACATGTGTCATTGGCTTTGGACAGGGGTGGGCGGAAGCCAAAAGGACCTCAAGTGAAGTCTTGAAGGACAGTGAAGGAATTGTTATTGAAGGTCAGTGCTTTGAGTTGACTTGTGTCCCCACCA